GAAATGCCAACACTGATTAAATCCAACTCTTTGCCTCTTTCAAAGCTATGTCTGCACTACAAAAAGCTGAGGAAGAAAAACAGAGGCATTGTCCTAGCTTTATAAAAGCCTAGGAAATACAGTTTTTAGATGTTCTGTTTCTACAACACAGGAAGGACACATCTAAGGAAGACGGATTGGATGTTGAGTGTCAATCCACTTTATTGACATATCCTGACACTCAGTTACATGGCTCTCTAGAAGAGCACATTATAGGTTGAGAATCACTCTATTCTCACGTACCCACACCAGGTAAGAAGTTACTGTTGCAGTTTATTATTATTTGTAAATTTAAAAAATGAAAGCAAAAGAAAAAGGAGAGAAAAATTTACTACCTAAGAGTAGCCTTCCTTGTCACCCTATGTAGATAGGTTTCTCCTTGCTGTTCTCTGCTTCTTCATTGGTCAAATATTCACAGTATTTTGTATTAGGCATTATTTTCAGTGATAAGGAATACAGCAGTGATGAAAAGGTACACAATCCATGCTTTCACTAAACTTAGAGTCTAGGGAGGGAGCTGCACAAAACAAAAACAAAACCTGTATAGAAATAATGTATTTTCCAATAGAGATCAGAATGGGGTGGGGAGACAGGGAACAATTTTAGGTAGGAAAATCAGGGAAAGCCTCTTTGAAGAGATGAAATTATAGTGTAGATACAAATGGTGAGAGGAAGCTAGTTAGATTAGGACTTGGAAGAAGAGAATTCTGCAGAGAGAGAAGAGCAAGCATTAAGACCCTGAGTTGGTAAAAGCTTGACATCTTCAAAGATATGACCAAGATCTCTGAAGCCCTCTTTCATAACACATGTTATTATATCTTGTGATATGTGTTATATGTGTTGTAATAGATCCAAATAGGTACACACAAATATATGATATCACATATTTATTTGGATTTATTATATATTTGTAAACTGTCTGTTATCCTTATGATCTGTTATCCCCTTGAGGATGGAGGCCATTTTTATCTTGTTCAAAGTCCCATACCCAGTGTTTGTTTAGTAACTGGCACACGTTGGCAGTTAAATGCTTACTAAGTGAGTGACTAAATAATAACTATTTATTAAACAAATGATGCGTAGGATGCATTGTTTAGTAGGTACTTTTTGCTTTCTAAATGTAATATTACAATATTGACTACGCGCTTTTAAATGACACATTCTGCCCTCTATCACGGGCAGGCTCCTTTCCTGAACCCTTTTTCCCTTGAAAATCTCTGTGCTAAGAAGTTAGATATTTGAATTAATTCCCTCTTGTGTCTTAAATTACCATGAATTCACCCTGTGTTTTGGTTTGTTGTCGGATCCTGAGAGGGTCTTTGAAAGGGATGTTCTACTTTCCTTGGGTCATTAGAAGTCAAAGGGAGAATGAAAAACAGAATTTAAGGTGATTATGAGGCATCCAGGAAAATATCCAGTCAGTAGAACCTAGGGAAACAAATCTAACTTATGGGACATAAGTAATAAGAGAAACCAAGCTAGGGAGAGGTAAGGAGGAGCCAGAAAGACAAAACTAGGATGATGTGACTGGCATTAAAAGGAGGGAAACCTCAAGGGTAGTGGGGAATTACATAATGTCAAACGCTGCAGAGAGCACCAGAATGCAGAGAAACGATCCCTGCCTCTAGAGATTGGTATCCTTCAAGAGAGCAGTTTCGAATGAGTGGGCTAGGAGTGAGGAAGTGAAAGCTCTGGACATGGCCATTCATTCTAGAGGTCTGCTAGTAAAAGGTCAGGTTAGATCGCCTCTGGGAAGGGGAAAGTCAGGGAGTCAGACTTGCTCCCTCTTCATTTGAGAAGTCACTTATCAGCCCATTCTTTGAAACCTGGGATGAAATGTCTATTCAGTGACTGTGGACAGGGTAACCTTCTCTCTTTTCTGCATCCAGCTGTGGCCAGTTTCTTCATATCAACATATACAGTGGACCCTGAGAGAGGCTAAACACTAAATGCTTCAGGTGAGTGTCCTACAGCCACATGGGGTTCAGGTGTTGGTGGGAGTGGGAGGGGGTGTGGATGAGGGAGATCAGACACTTATTTTGGGAGTAGTTAATGCGCTCCTTTGACCAACATGAAGTGGGGCAAAGCTTCATGGTGTAGGTAAGAGGTTGGAAACTTAACTATTTTCAGTACTAGGCAGGTATCATAAGTGAATGAAGTAGGCAGGGCAGGCCAGGGGTGAAAGGTGAAGGGCAAGCCCCATTTAGAATAGGACAGAGGCTATGTGGCACCTGCTAACTGTTGCCTCGTAGGAATGTGGTTCCAGTATGCATAAGGCACAGAAGCAGGAAGGAGAGTCTGGATTATTCTAGGAGCCAGATAAAGAACAGTGTGGCTGGAATGCTGTGAAAGAAAGAGTACAGATGTGAGTAGGAGTCTTGTAGGCCCTTTCAAGGCTTTGTGGCCACCCAAAGGGTATGACTGGGGGCTGGCAGAGAGGGAAGAGTATTTTTATTCCCTTCTATTACCTTCCCAGGACAGCCAATAATAATAGCCTTCTGACCTTAATCAAAGTAGTTTAATGGGGCTACCATTTCCTCAATTGTACAATAAAAATATTAAAGAACAAGCTTACCTCCTGGGCAAAGAAAGTTTGGTTTTTTTTGGTAGGAATTTTGTAAGCATTGCATGATTTTTTTCCCTGCTTGCAAAAGACATAATTTATCTTTTGGGAATGGGACATCCAAGTCTTAACGTATTTACCTTCAGAACAATAGATTAGGTTATTGTTGGTTAAATCCATTTGTTTCCCACAAGAAAACAAAAACAATTCATTACATGGTGAGTATTGGGTAGTTTTCAGTTTTGTAAAGAAGATCTGATCCGCGTCCCACAACAATGGTACCATTTACTGAAATGAAAAAGCATAGTAGAATAAAAGGCTTGATGAAAGAAATCAATAATTTTGATTTTTTTTTTTAAGACAGAATTTCACTCTGTCACCCAGGCTGGAGTGCAGTGGCACGATCTTGGCTTACTGCAATCTCTGCCTCCTGGGTTCAAGTGATTCTCTGCCTCAACCTTCTGAGTAGTTGGGATTACATGCACCCGCCATCATGCCCAGCTAATTTTTGTATTTTTAGTAGAGACAGGGTTCCACCATGTTGACCAGGCTGGTCTCAAACTCTTGACCTAAAGTGATCCACCTGCCTTGAGCTTCTAAAGTGCTGGGATTACAGGTGTGAGACACCACACCTGCCCAAGGGTTTTGATTTTTTTAAAAACTGTGATATGTCTACCAGATACGCAAATGGAGATGCCAACTAGGCAGTTAGTGAGGTAAACCAGGAGGTCAGGACTAAAGATGCGTTTGGGAACCTTTAGCTTATAAATGGTATTAAGGCAATAGGAATGGCTGGCATCAGATAAGAAGAGCACACAGATGTAGAAGTGAAAGGGACCCACATGTGAGCCTTAGCTCTAGTCGTCCTGCAGAGGAAGTGGATCTTCAAAGAGCCCGAGAAGCAGCTGGGAAGGAAGGAGTAAAACTGGGGAAATGTAGTGCCACAGAAGCCAAGAGAATAGACTGTCATATTTATAGTGAAAAGGGAGAAGGTTGAAAAGATTGAAGGAAATATGAGTCAGGAAGTCTATGCTTTAGTAGTTGGCCTGTAATGGCACATGAGCTTAGTTTTTCTTATGTGTTATTTTCTTACTCACCTCTTAGAAATCCATAGATATGCTCTTAGTTTTTGTTTTGTCTGTGATCCTCCCCAGTGCAGTCCAGACTCAGTGTAGATTCTGGTAGATTTCCTGCTCTAGATGAATTAGTAGTGCATTCCATGACATATTCCCTAATATTCTTGCTGGTTTTGGGCACCCTAGATGTTGCAAGTATTTTTCTACTTGCATTGACTTTACAGATTATTCCTTCCCCTCTGAAGAACCCTGGAAGTCTTCAAAATTTGATCCCCTTGAAAGAAAAGCATTCTCTTACCTGCCCAGTGAGATCTCCCCTGAGCTTCAGGTCATCTTGCACGGACATGGCAGTAACCCTTTTTTTTCTCTTTTCTTTGAAGTCTCCATGAATCTATTCCTTGGAAACTCATCCTTCTTCCTGATTAAGCTTCTCTATCTTGCCCTACTCCACTGACTAATAATGTAATTGAGAGCCGGTATTTGAGATTAATTAACTTTGACGAGCTTTGTTTTTCTTTTTTACTGTTTTCAGCCATTATTTCAGTTCTTCCCCACTCCAGCTCCCCAACCCTTCCCTTTGAACCTTGTGGTCTTGAGAGCTGATCTCCGTCACATGTCTTGTTGTGCTGAAGGTTTGTGAGATGATTCTGTATAACTTAGTAATAATAATTAATTTATGCTATTATTAATTTGTACTAATTATATCATAATACCAACAATGCTGACTGACATTTATTGAACTCCTTTATGTGGCTGAGAGCTGTGCTAAGGGCTCCAGGTGTATTGTCTTATTTCATTTTAACAAAAACCCATTACATATTCATTTATTTATTTAACAAATTTATTGAACACTTGCCATATGCTAGATATGCTAGGGTTACAGTGATAAACAAAACAGTCATTGTCTTTGTTCTTAAAGAGCTTAGGGTGTAGTAGGAGAAGTAGACGTTAAAAAAATAAAAATAAATATTTAATGATGTGATAAATGACACAGAAGGTGTAACAGAATAATAGAATCTATTTATTTTATTTATTTATGTTTTTTGAGACAGTGTCTTGCTGTCACCCAGACTGGAGTGCAGTGGCACAATTTTGGCTCACTGCAACCTCTGCCTCCTAGGTTCAAGCGATTCTCCTGGCTCAGCCTCTCCAGTAGCTGAGATTTTAAGCATGCACTACTATGCCAGGCTAATTTTTTTGTATTTTTAGTAAAGATGAGGTTTCAACAAGTTGGCCTGGCTGGTCTTGAACTCCTGACCTCAAGTGACCTGCCGGTCTCGGCCTCCCAAAGTGCTGGGATTATAGGCATGAGCCACAGCTGCCAGCCTAGATGATTCATTTTAGATAGAGTGGTCTGAGAAGGTCTGTCTCTCTTAGGAGGTAACATTTAAGTTAAGAGCTAAACAATAGGAGGACCCCAGCATGCCGATGAAGGGCTTGCAGACAGATGTAAATAGCTAACATAAAGAACTTTTCCTATAATAGAGGAGCTGAGAAGATCAGGGAGGCTACATAGAGGGTGTTGGAAAGGGAATGCTAGCTGAGGCTGAAGTTGGGCCAGAATAACTAGGGCCATGGAAACTGGATTTCATTCTGAGGGCATTGGGAAGCCTACAGGGTTTTAAACAGGCAACCGAAGGATCCAATTTATATTAAAAACATTAGTCTGGCTGTCTTGTGGAGAGTGGGTTGGAGACAGACAAAAAGCAAAAGTGAGAGGAATTGTTCTGAGTTTAAGGTAGGATTCCAGGTTAGAGGTGGTGATACGGGATGGTGGTCAAGGAGTTGGGGGAGAAGTGGAAGGTCCAAGAAATATTTTTGAGGTAGAGTCCAAAGGGCCTGGTGACAAAGACGCTGGAGTTAGGGATGACTTAGATTATTGGCTCAAACAATGGAGCTGATATGATACCATCCTCTTCCTTTTTCTGTCTGTGAGACTAAGGCTCCACGAGGTTAGGCAATATGTCCCAGGAGATACGTCTAATAAGTATTCTACAAGTTGAGCAACCCAAATCCAAAAATCCAATATCTGAAATGCTCCAAAATCTGAGACTTTTTGAGCACCCACACGAATGAAACTCAAGGGAAATGCTTATTGGAGGATTTTGAATTTCAGATTTTTGGATTTGGGATACTCAACCAGTAAATATAATGCAAATATTTCAAAATCTGAAAAAAATGGAAATCTGAGACAGTTCTAGTCCCAAGCATTTCCGACAAGGGATGCTCAACTTGTATCAGGATATGAGCATGGGCCTATCCAACTCCAGAGACTGCACATGTAACAAATACACTATATTATTTCTCAGTAAGTCACAATCCTGCTACTTTCTAACAGGAGAGAAGTGGTTGTCTTCTGGATTATAAACTCTCTGTCAACCATAATTCCATTTGCTTATTTATCAAAGAGAGAGTCAGTCTGCTGGTGTGTTATCCTTAGCATGTTTTGGTCTGAAGTGAATTGGAAAATATCTGAGCCACATGGTGGAAGTGATGTTGTCCTTAGGTGTTTGACCTGGGTAAGCAGGTTTAAATCCGAAGGAGTGGAGGTGATAATCCTTTCTCAGATATTCAAATTCTGTTGGCAGGCACAAAACCAAGCTTCCTGCCCTTTGTTCTCTTCCATGGGATCAGAAGATGTGTCATTCCTGAGTTCCTTTGAGGCCTTTCAGCAACTTACATGACATTGTCAAGGGCAGTTGCCCTGGAAGAAGTGGGTTTACTCTGTGGGAAAAAGAGGAAGATGAAGTAGGTTAATAGGAACTGGAACCTCAGCCCACCCCTCATGGCTACAAGAGAGGATTGGAGACTAGTGACAGGCAGATAGTAGAGATATTGATAGCATAGGGCAGAATTCAATTAAAAAAAAAAAACATGTAGGTTGAAAATTCAGTTAGGCATGGTGATCCTAGTACAAAATAACTTCTTGGATATGTTTTGGTGATGTCCCAAGACTTCTGTATGCTGTTGGTATTTGTGCATCTGTAAAATGATCCTTTTATTTTTACTTTATTTGCAAAATCATAGGTCTGTGGAGAGAGGTGAGCATATAAAAACCTGGAGCAATCATGGGCTTACCTCTTTGGAATGATTAATCGTGGAGTAAATTGTGAGATCATTTGCTATAGGTGTTGAGGTTTCCATTTCCTGTAAAAATAGTCATGGTAATTTGGCTTACACAGAGACAGAGAGACTAATGCATAGATATATTCTTAGGAAAGGCTGTGTGACCAGAAAGAGAACATGTCAAAGTTCTCCCAGAGGAAGGCCAGAGAATGTTTAGTGGAAGACCAAACACCGCTACCTTTCAGACCTGTGAAGGTTCACTGGCATTTCCTGAGCCCCAAACAGATGAGCAACAAGATAGCAAACCAGTGGGTCAAGAGACAGAGAAAGGCAACCTTGCTGTATGGAGGGCAGGAAACATTCTTGTCCTTTGTCCAACTCTACTTTCCTTCCTCCATTTTTAAGAACAGACTTATATACCGCATAGTTATATTTTACGTTTTGTCTCAAATTTTTGCTAGCTATAACTGGAACTGCCCATTTTGCCTGCTCCATCTTCTGCTATAATTCTAACTGCCTTATCATTATGTCATTGGGGTCTCCTCAAGCATGGGGAGTTGGTAGAATAAGAACATTTGGCCTTAGGAATGGCTTTGCCTGGAATGCACATTCCAGAAATAATAGCAGAAGTCCCTACGCCCCTCCAAGAACCTGTTCAAAGATTTTGACACTTTAAATTAATTAAAAAGTATTTAGAGAATTATCAAGATCTGGGCTGGGCACAGTGGCTCATGCCTGTAATCCCACCATTTTGGGAGGCTGAGGCAGGCAGATCCCTTGAGCTCAGAAGTTTGAGACCAGCCTGGCAACATGGTGAAACCCTGTCTCCACAAAAGGTAGAAAAGTTATCCTGATGCCTGTAGTCTCAGCTACTTGGAAAGCTGAAGTAAAAGGATCACATTAGTCTGGTTGAGGCTGCAGTGAGCTGTGATTGTGCCATTGCACTCCAGCCTGGGTGACAGAGTGAGACTCTGTCTCAAAAAAATAAATGTCAGCCAGGTGCGGTGGCTCATGCCTATAATCGCACCACTTTGGGAGGCCAAGGTAGGAGGATCACAAGGTCAGGAGATTGAGACCATTCTGGCCAACATGGTGAAACCCCGTCTCTGCTAAAATACAAAAAATTAGCCAGGTATGGTGGTGGATGCCTGTAGTCCCAGCTACTCAGGAGGCTGAGGCGGGAGAATAGCTTGAACCTGGGCAGCGGAGGTTGCAGTGAGCTGAGATCGTGCCACTGCACTCCAGCTGGGCAACAGAGCAAGACTCCGTCAAAAAACAACAACAACAACAACAACAACAACAACAACAACTCAGAAACTCTCCAAAGTACATTTTGTTTTCCTTTTTGTTAAAGAGAAAGCTAATAAATTTGTGGGAAATTAGCTTTTTTGGTTTGTTGAAGAGTTAATTGACTTGTCTTCAAGAGGAATTTGGAAAGGCAGTAGAAATGTCTAAGCAACTGAGAGTACCCCTTCTTGCTCCCTGTCATCAAGGAACATGCTTTGCAAATAATCGAAGGGAATCCAAGACTTCCAGCTAGATCATTGCTTATGTCATTTGGAAAATGCTGAGCTTTCCTGCCTTAGTTTTCAGAAGACATGAAAACTAGCCTCTCAAAATATATAGTATTATTTAGAGACATGCCACCTGCAGGTCCTTTATTTAGGGGTGGTGGGAAGTTGCTGATGCATGACAGATGAGTTGCTGATGCTTGATCAAAGCATCCTGTTATGTTGCTAGATGGGTGGAGAGGAGTGAACCATTGCTTATGGTTTAGTGACCTCTACCGTGCCCCCTTCCCCTCTTGAGAGACTACTTCTGAGCTCCCCCTAAGACCCCTACAACCACAGTGAGAAGTCAGGCCCCTGCTGTGGAACTGCATCCATAGGAAACTTTCAATTTAGTGGAACTCTGACCCATTCAGCAAGTATTTACTGATCAGTATGCTAGGATATAGGGGAAGAGAGAGGAAGACATTGATTTGTACTTTCAGGCAGCTTGTAATTAAGCTGAAGGGACAAGACTTACTGACGCAGTCAAGCAGTTGGAGAACAGTGTAAAGCAGGGTATGAATAAGCATTCTCTTAAGGGCGAGAGCGGCAGACACCAGAATGGTCTAGCACATAACTGCAGCCCCCGTCACTGTCGCTGTCTTCTCCTCCCCTCAGTGGTCATTTGATCAGTCAGATGGTTATGGTGGCAAGTTTGTGAACAACTGGCTGTAAAACTTGCAACAGTGGGGTGTAAAGCTGAAAGGACTCACCCTTGCTGAATGAGTGACTGAAGCATACACAGTGTTGTTCCCTGGAGAGACTGAAGCATTGTCTGTGTTCCCCGCAGACTCTGCTGTTAACACAGGAAGGCACAGTCAGTGGCAGAAGGACTTTGGGACTGCTATTCCAGGACCTCGCCCTCCCCAGAGCACACTGCGTCCCCAGATAGGCAGGTGTTTGAGGCGTCTCCTTTCCTGAGAGATCATTCATTCTTGATAGTCTTTGGAGTTCTGGATTGGCCTTCTCAATCATGTGGTCAATATCTAACCACATCTCTTAGGGTAGGAGGTGATGTTGTGGTCCCCTAAAGCTTCAGAGTCTCCCTCAGGCTGCACATGTGGGTCAGGAAGCTCCTGGGACCACATGGTACTGCCTATAGAAGGGCTAGAGGACAACTTGTTGGCAAACATAATGGAGCCAGTTATTTCACGTACTGGGCTATTATCGAGCTTTTCAGAGTCCCCTGTAGTGGATTTGATTATTCTGGAGATGAGAAACTGGAGGCTCAGAGGGCTTAACTGAATTGGGCAAAGTGACACAGAAAGTGATGAAACAGGAACTCAATGTATGTCTTCTGACTTCAAACCTTTTCCTCTACAAGTGATGTCATGCATCGCTCGTGCATGAAATGAGACCCAAAGCCATTCTGAGTCCAGAGCCTGTGTTTGTGTTTCTATATCATGCATTCTCTTTCCACTATGTCTCTCCATTGCCCAAACTCTGGCTGAACAGCAGTGATGCGGTCAGGCAGTTTGGTTTCATGTCTCGGATGCTGTAATCCTGCCTGTGCCCTGGACTTGCTGGGTGACAAGGGAGGATCCCTTTCACTGGCACTTAGTTTCTCCATCAGCAGGGTGGTGAATAAACCTGATATCACCAAGAGAAACTGTGTGAGTGACTGGTTCACATGCCTGTACCTGTGAACCCTATAGGACCCATGATTACAGGTCATCTTCCCTCACACCTCGTGGGTCTGAGTAATGGCATTCTGACTCTCTCCTCTCTCATTATCCAGCCCTCTGCCATCCCCCTTTCTCTTCCATTTGGTTCTTCCCACCTGCTTTATGACAGAGAGTTGAGAGTCTGAATGCTCACCGGGACCCTGTGTTTGCTGAATAGACAAAAGAAGGGAACCTGAAAAATAAAACAAAAAAATTGAAATATGTGACAAGCAGTGGGAGAGGCATTTCACCCCCAACCCCATGGGTATTGGGATATGGTGGGAGGGGACCCAAAAGGGAGGGCAGGCAGCCCTGAGGCAGGGTCCTGCTTTTCCCAATAGGTCACTTCCCTTAGGATATTAGCAGGTGCATGATCACACCCAGGGATCATCTCAGTGGACCAGCTGAGCCAGGGTTTGCAGCCTCCTTCCCTCCTCCTGTCCTCCACAAAAGATCCTGGGGAATCAGAGGTTCCGAAACTCTCAAACCCTGGAAACTTGGAGAAGAGACAAGCGGGAAGAAAGGAAACCTGCTCTTCTTTTCTTCAAAACAAGTAACAGCACGATGATGAATATGATGACTATGCATGTCCCAAGAGTCACAAACAGAATCACATTGGTATCTGTATATTGATTTTCAACATCTGAAAAGAGAAAAAAGAAATACAGTTGAGAGGACGTCAAGTGAGGCCAACTGTTCTTGGAGCCTCCATGGAGCCTCTTCTAGTCCATCTTTGGGGACTGGGTAGGTTTGTCTATACCCAGAAGCTCTGGGTCGGAGTCCTGTGGGGCAGGCACAGGAGGGTGGAGCCCAGTGGAGTCATGGAGGGAAAGCAACCCTGCCTTCCCAGGCCTTTGGTCTTGGGTTCTGAGTGGGTTGGAGGAGGGATTGGGGAATGAGGAGGAACGAAGGAGAGTCCTCTGGGAGTACCGAGAGATGCAGAGGTCCAGAGGGCGTCTGTCCTCTCCCAGCAGCATTTTCTGCCTCCCACTGGGTCACTGTTTTGGAAATTATGTAGGGCGTGAGGATGCACTAAATCCCACAGCTGCTCAAGGCTCTCAGACCTGAGGCAGGCTGTTACCTCCACAAAGCTTCTGGGCAGAGACAGAGAAGGATAAATTGCTGACAGCATTCTCTGCTATGCAGGTGTAGTCCTGCTCACTGGAATTCCTGGGGTCCCAGGAGATAGTGAGGTTTGGCTCACTGTAGAAGCGTCTTTCCCAAGGCCTCCCATTTGAATGAGATGTTGTCATTTGGATCCTCCACAGAACAAGTCAGATGGATCTCACAGATCCTATTCTGAGACAGTTGACTGTAATTGGTCACTTGTATGTTCTTCAGTTTTCCTGTTTGCCAAGAAAAAAAAAAGACCCAGATTAAAGGCAAATGTCTTGGCTCAGCGCCCTGTGAAAAATATCCTTCACCTCAATGTTGTGTATTTCACCTTTGTTGTATGTTACGGCCTGTAAACTCTGTAAATGACTCTGCTTATATTGCCAATTGATGTTAGCAAGGTCTGGGGTGACCAAATGATGCGGGACATCAGTATGGGTCAGGATAGCCAGTGGGAGAGGTGGGAAGGGAGAGAATGGGGTTTCCAACAACTAGTCGTGCAATTTTGGGGTGGTCACTTTGTATTCCTTGGCTCCGGTTTATCCCTGGAGTCCCTTTGAGTGCTTGCACTCTGTGAGAGAACTCCGAGGGCATCTCCGTGAAGTCAGAAGCCAAAAGACCAGGTGCAAGAGCCCTGTTTCCTCTCTTATCAGAATTCCCTTACTGGGGTGGAAGATGGAAGTGTCACTTCCTTGGGGAATTACAGCTCCCATCAATCTGTGGGGATCCTGGTTCCCACTGTATCTAAAGATGGTTCCAGCAGTGAGAAAGAGACGCAGATGCAGGAGGTCAGCAAGACAGAAAGGAAAGTGCTGAGAACCAAAGAACTGGGGAAGGAAGAAGTGAAGAAGCTGAGAAAGCAAAGCAGGCATTTCTGGGGGCAAAGAAGGGCAGCATATCCAGGCCTGTGAGAGGAAACCTGATGCAGATATTTCTGAGAGCTGAAGACCAGGAAATATTGCCTAGTAAGCTGTTAGTAGCTGTAAACCAATGGGAACATGGGAGCAAGACAGAAAAGGCCACTGACTTAGCCTTGGCCTGAGGGTTGAAGTAAAGATGACACAACCAGGAATGGAATGACTCAAATTCTCTGATTAGAAGAGACAGAGTAGGCCGGGCGCAGTGGCTCACACCTGTAATCCCAGCACTTTGGAAGGCCGAGGCGGGTGGATCACTTGGTCAAGAGATTGAGACCATCCTGGCCAACGTGGTGAAACCCCGTCTCTACTAAAAATACAAAAAAATTAGCTGGGCAGTGGTGGCGCGTGCCTGTGGTCCCAGCTACTCGGGAGACTGAGGAGGAAGAATCGCTTGAACCCAGCAGGAGGCGGGGGTTGCAGTGAGCCAAGATTTCGCCACTGCACTCCAGCCTGGCAAGACTCCGTCTCAAAAAAAAAAAAAAAAAAAAAAAAAAGAAGAGACAGAGTAGTGCTTTAAGCTGAGTAGGGGGTTGTGGAGTATCTGTACTGAAATCTTGCCAGAACAGAGTTTTCATGCGTGCGAAGAGTCTTGGATTTGGAGTCAGGAAGACCTGAATTAAGATCACGGTTTTGTCATTTCCTGGCTACAGTGACCATGGACAAATTATTGCTATCTCTAAGCCACAGTTTCCTTATATGTGAGACTAGGTAATAATATCCACTTCTCAGGTAAACCTGAGGAATAGCTGAGACAGTGCCTAGCAGCAGGGACGGCAAGTATTTGGCATGAAAATGACCTCTCCCTCATCTCATGTCGATGGCTGAACAAAGAAATCCATCTTGCTACCTTTTTCCAGTTAAGGAATATATGAGGAATTTCCACATGTATGTAAGCATGCAAGTATATCTCAAACTCAGCATGTTCAAGAGGGCTCCTGTTTTTCTCTCCCAAACCTTCTCAACCTGCAGTTTTACCCATCCGACTTGATGACAACTGCGTCCTTGTAATCACTGAGGCGCAAACCCCTGGAGTTATCACTGACTCATATCTTCATCTCATACTCCCACGTCAGGAAATCCTGCTGGCTCTACCTTCAAAATATGTCCAGAATGCAACCACTTCTCACCATCTCCACTGCTACCACCGTGATCCAAGCTAGCATTAACCCTTGCCTGAGTTATTGCAATGGCCTCCTAATTGGTCCATTGTACCCTTCTCCCTTAAAGTCTATTCTCAACAGAGCAGCAGAAGGAATCCTTTAGACAAGTAAGCCACATCATATTACTTGTTTGCAAAACCTTCTGATGGCTCTCAGTGTCACTGAGAGTAGAAGCCAAAGTCTTTGTGATGGTTCTGAGTCCTTATGCAGTGTGGCCCCTGTTTCCTTTCTGGCCTCGTTTTCTATTGTCCTCCCCCTTTCTCTGCTCCTGGATGTTTGGCCTCCGTGGTGTTTCTTGAGTAGGCCAGGCACAGGGGATGTTGCTACTTATGTTGGATGGCTTGTCTTCCATGTACCTGCATGGCACACTCCCTCACTTCCAACAAATCTTTGCTTGAATGTCATCTTTTCAGTGAAGCCTGTTCTGATCACTCCCTTTAAAATTGTCCTCTCCTCCCTGGCAAGCCTGATGCTTCTCATGCTGTTCTAATTTCTCCTTTATTCATACCACTCAGGGCTTGCTTACATGCTATCTCATTTGTTTATGTGTTTTGTGAATTGTTTGTTACCTGCCTCTACTTCCCTTCCAGAATGTAAGCTCCATGAGGACAGTGACCTGTTTTGCTCACTGATGTATTCAGGTGCCCACAACAGAACCTGGAATATTACTTGAATCTATCAAATATTGTTGACTCAATTAATAAATGTAACATGGCTTCAACATTTTCTTAACCCTGAACTCTAGGCCGTTGTATTATTTTGTTTTCACACACTATAAAGATATTACCTGAGACTGGGTAATTTATAAACAGAAGAGTTTCAATTGACTCACAGTTCTGCATGGCTAGGGAAGCCTCAGGAAACTTACAATCATGACAGAAGGGCAAGGGGAAGCAAGGCACATCTTGCATGGCAGCAGGAGAGAGAAAGAAAACAAGGAAGTGCCACACTAAAAACTATCAGCTCTCATGAGAACTCGCTGTCATGAGACCAGCATGGGAGAAATCTCCCACATGATCCAGTCACCTCCCACCAGGTGCCTCCTTTGACATGTGGGGATTCCAATTCGAGATGAGATTTGGGTGGGGACACAGAGCCAAGCCATGTTATCAGTCACTCCTAATTAACTGGTATTGGCCCATAAAATCAAACCTTTGCCGTCCATATCCTGGCACATGCCAAGAGATTGATCAATGTTAAAAATAAAACTTACATAGCTTCTACTTTGAAATTCCTTTGCACTATTGTAAAACTAGCTGGTGTACTGACATAGCTTACACAATTCTTTGTGTATGTGCCTTTCAAGGAAATGGCACTCCAAAAAGCCCTGAAAGAGATTAGCATTGAGCCTCAGGAGTGTGGTTGTTTCAAGAAAAGTCATACCTGATCTTCTCAATAATGTTAGAGGAACATTATCTCAGTAAATGTGATGGAGCCTGGTACCCATTTCAGGCTTTCCATTGGATGAATTGTTCTTCTCTCCAGTGTCCTACACTGCCTTGACAATCACTGGTCACCCAGGGTGATTCTGCCTGTAGTAGGTTGAATAATGACCTTACAAAAGATCTATGTCCTAATTCCCAGAATCTGCATGTTACCTTATTGGAAAAAAGGGTCTTTGCACATGGAATTAAGTTATATGAGATTATCCAGTATAATCTGGATAGGCCCCAAACCCAATGACAAGTGTTTCCATAAGAGAAAAGCATAGATGTTTGAGACAGACAGAAGAGAAGGAGGCAGTGTGACCATGCAGCCACAAGCAAAAGAAAACCAAGGAGTGTTGATAGCTACCAGACGCTGAGAGAGGCAAAGAGCGGATTGACCCCTACGGCCTCCAGAGGGAGCACAGCTCTGCCTACACTGTGATTTTGGACTTCTGGTCTTCAGAACTGTGAGAGAATATGAATTTCTGTTACGCCACCTACTTTATGGTATCTCTGTTCCAGCAACCTCAGGAAATTAATACATTGCCCCAGGGCGATTTTTCCCCTTTTAGTTACAATCCCTTATTTGGTTTTCCAGACATCATCCCTTTCCCATTACATTTATCTGTTTTGTGTTCTATTCTTCAAGGACATGACTTTGATTAATCTAACACAATATACCTGTCAGATTTTCAGGGAATACTAAAAGTTAACATGTAATCTGTCTATGGAGACTATTTCATTTAACAGTCCTTTTTTGAGAACCATGTCTTAACCCCAAGGACTCTGAGTGAATTTGAGACACAACAGGCCCTCAAGTGGGTAAGAATTATAGAATTTCAGTGGCCTTTAGTGTTGTCTGGTCTGATTGCCAATTTAATGCTCGAATCTCCTGCTAAGTGATTATAAAGCCATTAATGGCATCTCTGAATATTACTGATTGCTAGAAAGTTTTTTTCTGATATTGACTCATAAGCAATCTCATTGTAGTTTACATAATTTTATGACGATAACATTTTCACTCTTTTTCATCTTGGGAAGGCGGAGGGTTGACTGGTGATTAATATGAGCCATCTGGGGAAAATAGTGTTAAAAATTAAATAACCTTGGCAGAAAGGATGTTTCTCATTATCAGTTTATCTTTGCAGAGCACTTTCTAGGTAGACCACTGTTTTGTACACAGACCACTCTACTGGGTCAGACTAGCCTTTGTGAAAAGGGAGGTGTCGTGGCAGGGCAGTTATGTGGGAAGCGCTGCCACCACTATCTCTGTGACTTGTAGACAAGTCACTGTGACTGAGGCTGTACCTCAAGGGTAAGGTCTGTATCTACCTCATGGAGCCTTTGTGAGAATTACATGGCAAATACATGTAATGCACAAGGCAACACTATCATAAATATTTCATTTCCATTACTTCTACTACTCTTCTGGTTGAAAAAGATTGTTTTATTGGAATGAAATAATTCTGGGCTGGAACACAAGACTTAGGTCTGTCCTCAGCTCTGTCACTAACTGACTCTATAATGTTGAGTTGACACTGACTCAATGACTCCAAATGCCATACTCTATACTACTAGGCTATAGTGCACATTTGAAGTCACATAGGATTGAAATACATGTATATTTCAGTCCGTATGGAATTAAACCCCATATTTTGACTTACTGAATATCCTCAGAGTGTAACTGGACACTTTTACAGTGGTCTCTGAGGACATCAGGGCACTGTAGGAACCTGTGTCTTCCATCTCCAGGTTGCTGAGTTGCAGGGAGTAGGACTGGGTGAAGTTCAGTCGCTTTCCCAGTTTCGGATTAGTCAGGTGGATTTGTGGACTTTTGGCTTCAGAGGGTGCTATGAAGGCAATAGATGTTCCATTGTAATGCCAAGTAATGGACCTGATCTTCTCTCCTGCAGGAAACTCCAGGGGAAGAGTTACTGACTCCCCCAGAACCCCATTCACGATCAGTGGGGTTGAGCTGGTTTGTGAAACTGGATTCCCTATAAACACAGAAGGAAAAGGTTTTTAAAATGTTCCTGACAAAATCCCTGCCAAGTCCTTCACCCTTTCACCTAACTCTGCCAGTCTGTTAGAGCTCTCTGATACCAAAACTCGGAGATATGACAGAGTAGGAAAGTTTAAGGAGATGCTTCTAAATGGATAATCAGAGTCCCAGAGCTCCACCTCCAGCAAAATGTCAGGCACTCTTGGTTAGTAGGCAGCTGGTCTGGATGAAACTGGCCCAGTCCACACTGGGTCCTACACTGGCTGGTCACTCCCAGGTCATGACTATACTTTGTGACCCCAGACTCTGAATTCCTTGGGCATTAGGTTGAGGGGGACAGGAAACTATTATAGTCTCCAAAAACTCTAAGTCTTTGCTGATAAAGTATAATTAAAGCCTGATATTCACTGATTACCTATTGTGTGTCCAATATAGTAGGCTTGTGCAATTTAGAAGGTAACAGGGACTCATATCAGGGATTTATAGCATAGTCAGTTGTTCTTTTTTTTTTTTTTTCTAATTGGACTGTCAGCAAGACTACAACCACTGTACATCATTTGAACTATTAATCTTTTAACCTACACTTATATACTCATGAGAAAATATATATTACATCCCCCATACTTTTTAAGTGTAAAAAGATCCCATTATACCCAAAAGATAAAGTAACTGTAAACTAAGTTTGGGGTTGTCTAGGAAAAATAACTCATGGAACTCTCCCATATATATCTATTTTCTTGTGTTAAATTTACTTTAGCCTCAAGTTGCCTCCTTACATATTTTAAGTTAGGCCTAAAAGTTTCTTCATACATAGTGAACTGCAACCTAACTGCATACGTAAACTGAACGTAACCTACTTTTGTACCAATCACAGAGATTCAGCCAAAGGCAGCTGAATATTCAAACTGTGTTCAAATAAGGTGAAGGGTGAGCTGTAATCAATCAAGCTCTTTCTGTACCTTACTTTTGTCTTCTGTACATCACTTTCCCTTTTCTATCCATAATTGTTATCTGAGCATGTGGCTGAAGGCTGCTTGATTCATGCATCATTCTTTGCTCAATTAAACTGTTAAATTTGTCTAAGGTTTTTCTTTTAATCCCTGACATAAAGGATATCAGAGAAGCTGAGTTGGGAAAGATAAAAAGGCACCTGGTTACAAATGTGATGTGTTTATCATTACTTTAAAAACATTAGGAAAAACCAGAATCTAAAATATCAGAATGGCTTGCTATATATATATATGAAATATAACTATACATATTTCTTTCCTTAAGTATTTTCAATCCACTTCTATCCAAAATAAAAAGTAAAACAAAAACTGTTTTTTGTTTTTTTTTTTTGAGATGGAGTCTTGTTGTTCTTATACATTGTTCTTATACAACTAGTCAGTTGTTCTTATACATTATTTCATTGATGCTGATGATAATTCTGTGATGCAGGCAGGAGGGATATTACTACTTCCATTTATAGATAAAGGAACTGAGCCACAGAAAGGTTAACTAATTTTCCCAGTGTTGCACAGCTAAAGAATAGCAGAGTCAGGATTCAGACTCAGGTCTTCTGACACCAATGACTTTGTGCTCTTTTCATGATGCCAGAAGATACTTTTTATTCTCTCAGAGAAATTATAATGTAGTTGTTGAGGAGATAAAATGGATACATACAATAAATATAAATTATATTTATTGTATGTATCCATTTATGAACTAATAATTTCAGAGTAACACATGATAGCCACATTATTGTGAGCTTATTCAGAACCATCAATGTTTAAGTAAAAAAGGTGAAATGATCGCAATGATTCTTAAAGAAGATGCTTCCTTAGCATCTTTTCCCAAATTCTTAGTAATTATCACACTATTTTGTAGTCTTGTTCACCTGTTTGCCTAACTGGCCATGCCTTAATTATCCTTGCCTGTCAGTATTCAGCACCATGTCTGACACGTAGTAGAGTCTGTGGAAATGTTCAAGTAGGTCAATGAATAAATAACCATAACCATTACCTCAACCTTCTCAGGATCTCTTGCTTTTTTTTTTCCTTAAAAATTTCAACTTTTATTTTAGATATGGGGGTACATGTGCAGGTTTGTTCCATGGGTATGTTGCACCCAGATAGTGAGCATAACAACAAATAGGTAGTTTTTCAACGCATTACCCACTCCCCTCCTTCCCCTCTAGTAGTACACAGCATCTGTTAATCCCATGTTTACGTCCATGTGTGCTCAATGTTCAGCTCTGACTTGTAAGTGAGAACATATAGTATTTGGTTTTCTGTTCCTGTGTTAGCTTGCTTAGGATTATGGCCTCTGGCTCCACCCATGTTGCTGTAAAAACATGATTTTATTCTTTTATATGGCTGCTTAGTATTTCATGGTGTATATGTACCATATTTTCTTTATCTAATCCATCACTGATGGGAACCTAAGTTGACTCCTCATCTTTGCTATTATGAATAGTATAGGGATGAACATACAAGTGTATGTGTCTTTTTGGTATAATGATCTATTTTCCTCTGGCTATATACTCAGTAATGGGATTGTTGGGTTGAATGGTAGCTGTGGTTTAAGTTCTTTGAGTAATCTCCAAACTGCTTTCCACAGTGCAAATTTACATTTTCCACTAACAGTATATGACTGTTTCCTTTTCTCTGAAGCCTCACCAAGTGAGACCTAACACCTACTTTTTAATTTTGACTTTTTAATAACAGTCATTCTGACAAAAAACTGTATTAGTCCATTTTCACACTGCTAATAAAGACATACCCGAGGCTGGTCATTTATAAAGGAAAGGGATTTGACTCAGAGCTCCACATGGCTGGGAGGCCTCACAATCATGGTGGAAGGTGAAGGAAGAGTAAAGTCATGTCTTACATGGCAGCAGGCAAAGAGAGCATGTGCAGGGGAACTCCCTTTTATAAAACCATCAGCTCATGAGACTTATTCACTATCATGAGACTAGCATGGGAAAGATCACCCTCATTATTCAATTACCTCCTACTGGGTCCCTCCCATGACATGTGGGAATTATGGGAGCTCTACAGGTCAGGATGAGGTTTGGGTGAAGACACAGTCAAACCATATCAAAAACAAAACCAGCATTTATTGTTTTTTGACTTTATATTAATAGATCTTCTGACTGGTGTGAGACAGTATTTCATTGTGGTTTTGATTTGCATTTCTCTGATGATTAGTGATGCTGGGCATTTTTTCATGTTTGTTGGCCACTTGTATGTCTTCTTTTTTTTGAGATGGAGTCCTGATCTGTTGTCCAGGCTGGAGTGGAATGGTGTGGTCTCGGCTCACTGCAATCTCCGCCCCACCAGGTTCAAGCAATTCTACTGCCTCAGCCTCCCAAGTGGCTGGGATTACAGGAGCCTGTCACCACACCCAGCTAATTTTTGTATTTTTAGTAGAGGTGGGGTTTCACCATGTTGGCCAAACTAGTCTTGAACTCCTGACCTCGTGATCCACCCATCCTGGCCTCCCAAAGTGCTGGGATTACAGTGTGAGCCACTGTGCCCAGCCTGCATGTCTTCTTTTAAGAAGTGTCTGTTCATGTTCTTTGCCCATTTTTTAATGGGGTTATTCATCTTTTTGCTTGTTGATTTAAGCTCCTTATAGATTCGGGGTATTAGATCTTTGTTGCATACATAGTTTGCAAATATTTTCTTCCATTCTGTAAGTTGTCTGTTTACTATAATGATAGCTTCTGTTCCTATGCAGAAGCTCTATAGTTTACTTAGATTCCACTTGTCAGTTTTTGTTTTTGTTGCAATTGCTTTTGGGGACTTAGGCAAAACTTCTTTGCCAAAGCCAGTGTCAAGAAGGGTATTTCCTATTTTTTTTCCCAGGATTTTTATAGCTTGAGGTTTAATATTTGATTCATCTTGAGTTAATTTTTGTATATGGTCAAAGGTAAGGGTCCAGTTTCAATCTTCTACATATGGCTAGCCAGTTATCCCAGCACCATTTATTGAATAGGGAGTCCTTTCTTCATTGCTTGTTTTTGTTGGCCTTGTCAAAAATCAGATAGTTGTTAGGGTGGGGCTTTATTTCTGAGTTTTCTGTTCTATTCCATTCATCTATGTGTCTGTTTTTGTACTGGTACCATGCTGTTTTGGTTACTATAGCCTTATGGTATAGTTTGAAGTCAAATAGTGTGATGTCTCTGGATTTGTTGCTTTTGTTTAGAATTGCTTTGACTGTTTGGGCTCCTTTTTCTTTGTTTGTTTGATATGAATTTTAGAATAATTTTTCTAATACTATGAAGAATGACATTGGTAGTTTGATAGAAATAGCATTGAATCTATAAATTGCTTTGGGTGGTTATAGACACTTTAACGATGTTGATTCCTCCAATCCCTGAGCATGAAATGTTTTTCCTCTTATTTTTGTCATTTCTGAGGGTTTCTTACTTCTTAGGAGAGGAGCTGAATAGGGAAGGAAATGTCTCTTGGTATCCTGGTGCTCTGCTCCTGGGTGAGTTTGCACACCCTCTCTCTTTCATGAATTGTCATATGAATTCCAGGCACATGAACTTGCTGTAATCAACATCTTTCCCATCAGCATTTTAACACATTGTGATTTGTCATCTTGACTCCTCTTTCCTCTGAATCACATGGGTGAATATCACAAGCAAAATTTTGAGCAGAAAGTCCAGATACCAGAGAATATAATGATACGATTCTATTTATTTAAAGTTGATAAACAGACAAAACAAATCTATGCTGTCAGAAGTCAAGAGAGTGGTTACATTTGAGGAGGAGGGAGAGGTGGTGAATAGGAGGAAGTATAAAGGAAGGATCCTAGAATGCTGATAATGCCCTATTTCTAGATCTGTATTTGGCTACACAGATTTATTCATTTTTAGGATAATTCATTGAGCTGATACTTAAGATCTGAACAGTTTTTATCTTTGTATTTCAGTTTAAAAAATTAAAACAGTAACAAAATCACAACAAAGTAAAATCATGACAATGACCTATAGGGACTAAA